GGCATAAGGTACTGAATTGAGCCTAGAATGATGTCTGCCAAGTTTCGAGAAAATCGGTCCAGATTTAGATATAGCTCCCATATATAGTTTCGTCCGATTTCATGTAAATGGTGCACCAAAGTCCCTATATATCTTTCGATGTGCACGAAATTTGGCAGAACGTACTGAATTGAGCCTAGAATGATGTCTGCTAAGTTTCGAGAAAATCGGTCCAGATTTAGATATAGCTCCCATACAAAGTTTCGTCCGATTTCATGTAAATGGTGCACCAAAGTCCCTATATATCTTTCGATGTGCACGAAATTTGGCAGAACGTACTGAATTGAGCCTAGAGTGATGTCTGCCAAGTTTCGAGAAAATCGGTCTAGATTTAGATATAGCTCCCATATATAATTTCGTCCGATTTCATGTAAATGGTGCACCAAAGTCCAATATATCCTCCAATTTTCACGAAATTTGGCATGGTGTACTGAATTGAGCCTAGAGTGATGTCTGCAAGGTTTCGAGAACATCGGTCCATATTTCTATATAGCTCCCACATATAGTTTCGTCCGATTTCATGTAAATGGTGCACAAAAGTCCCTATATATCTTTCGATTTGCACGAAAGTTGGCATAACGTACTGAATTGAGCCTAGAGTGATGTCTGCCTTGTTTCCTGAAAATCGGTCTAGATTTAGATATAGCTCCCTTTTATTATAGATTGATTTTAAGTAATTGACGCACCAAGGAACCAATAGGAACAAAACGTTCTGAAATTAGTATAACCTAACCTGTGACAAGTTTGTTTGAAATCGCTTAATATTTGGATAGAGCTTCCATATATATTTTCGCCCGATTGATGTCAGATTGACATCAAATTTTGCACAACGTACAAAAAGCATAGAATTACGTAGTTGCGTTTTCTAGAAGCATAGACATAGCCCAACGGATGACCTCTTTATATTTGTTTGAAGTCGATTTACATACTTTATCGATAGATCTAGGTGGATTCACATTTAGATAACTATCACATATTTTATTTCATCCAATTTCATGTTAATAGCCCTGTTTAATATACCCATAGTGGTGAAGGGTATCATATAGTCGGCCCCGTCCGACTTTACTACTTTCCTTACTGGTTTCTATTGTTTTTGTCTGTTATTAATTTTTCGACCAATATTTTTTGGGACTTTTTGAAATTTTTTGGTAAATCTTCTGAATTGGTCGATTATCTACAACAATTTTTGGTATATTATCCTCCTATCATTTATTTTGGTCGATATTTTTCCTATTTTGGGTATTTTTTATAACCATTTCTGGTTGTCTTTAATGTAGTGGATACCCTATGAAAAACAATGTAATTTTAACAGGTGTGCTCTGTTATGTTTGGAGATTATAGCTGTGTAACGGTTTAATCTCCTATATTACTCTCTCATTTCTATTTATTTCTCCAGTGTGCTTTTTCGCTCTCTCACCCCCAACAAACGATTCTTTCTCTCTTTACCGACAAAAACAAAGAAGCAAAAAATAACAGTTTGTTGCATGTTGTTGATTGAGTGAGTGGACGCGTCTCATTTGAAATGCTAACAAGTGGAGCAACAGTTGAAATGAATGAAATATTTTTCGGGTGTTCTGTTCTGTTTTGTTTTTCGTTTTTTTATTTTCTTATTGGTGTTGTTGGAAAACTGGGGAATTGGGGAATGTAGTTGTTTTTTGCTAAACATTGAGAGTTAGAGAGTAGTACTTCGTACTTGGCCTGCATTAGGTGACTGTTGTTCTCCTATTCTCTGTATGGAAACTAATGTTTACACGAGGCATCAAGTGTTATGGGGCATACTTACCTATATAACTTAGTTGGGATAGATTTGTGTGTTTTTAAGGTGTTGCTTTGCACAGTGGGTTGGGCAAAAATAAAAATAACATAAAAATGAAATGATACAAAAAATTTAAAAAATAAACATTTAAATAATTTTACGAAATCAGGGTCTACATTAGCTATTCCTGTTGGAGAAAATTGATAGACAATTTTTAAAAGAAACTTCCAGTAACTCCCTCCCCGGAGTATAATAATTTTCAACATCAGCAAATACCTATCCAATATGACATTCTGCCACGTTGGCCTTATGACCAACATCTATGGCAGTTTATCATCTTTCATTTCGTTTTATTTATTTTAAAATGTATATGTATATACGTTGTTTTTTGTTGCTGCTTAAAATTTATTTGTGCGTGCCATCTTCCTTGACACTCACACCAACACACAAACAATTCGCTGTTGTTTCATATCAAAAAATCCTCCAGCACACAGGTACAGAGCAGTGGTTGATGATTTGTTGTTTTTATCTTTTGGTACCTTCATTGTCTTCCTCTTCTGTGGAGTTCGTTTGTTTTTGTTGTTGTTGTTTTTGGCCTTCTAGGTCGTGTTGTTATCTGTTGTATGCTGTTGCTTCTGTTCTGTGTTTTGGTCCTGCTGTTTGAACAACCAGCGCCTTGTTGCTGTTGTATTTTCGGGGGATTTTTTTTTTTGGTGATGAAGCATAAGTGGAGGGTAGAGTTGACTGCTTGATATGCTGCTGACCTTATGGTAAGAGTGCGGGGGTGGTGTTGGGCAAAGAATGAGTGATGTTTGCTTGATTTTTTAAAATTTACAATAACTATATGGGAAATAGGGTTGACGTTTTGGTATTATTTTTTTTTATTTTACCAAAAAATTGGTCGATTATTATTTTGGAAATTTTCAGAATATATTTTTTAAATTACAAAATTAATGATTTTTTAAAAATTTACAATACCATTTCGGGGTTGACATTTTGTTTTTTTTATACCAAAAAAAAATGGTCAATTTTTTTGGAAATTTTAAAAATATTTTCTTTTTAAAAAATAAAAAAATTAAATTACTAAAATATGATTCTTTTTAATATTTGATACCAAAAAATTGGTCGGTTTTTAATTTGGGATTTTATTTATTTAATTTTATTTTCTACAAAGTAAATAAGTGTAAAAATTAACAAATAAGAAATTGGTTACCAAAAAATTTTGACCGGTTTTGAATTTTGATTTTTTATGAAAAAAACATTAACCAAAAAAAAATTAACCAAATTTCGGATATTCGAAAAAAAATATTTTTCTTATAGAAATAAATATATTTTTGTGTGCTTGACTAAAAAATGATACCAAAAAATTGGTCTTTTATTATTTCGGATTATCTGAGTTTTTTTAAAAAAAAAATAATTTTGAAATTTTTACTTGTGAAAATCAATTTGGAACACTTCTAAATTTTTTTTTTATAATTTTTTTCTAAAATTTTTTTTCTGAAGTTTTTTTTTTAAATATATTTCCCTGACTTTTTTGGTCGAATTTGCTGTAAATCCACTCCTTGCCTATCTATATATATATTTATATAAACGTGTGTTTGTCTGTATACATTTGTGTATTCATGTGCGTATGCTCCTCTTGATGGCCGACCTTGTTAAAGTTTTTTTCAACAAAAAAGGACTCTTCTTCTTTACAACTTGTTTTTTTCATTTTTTTTTTTTTTTTTTGGTTAACGCCAAACAAAAATCTCTCAAACATTTCGTTTCTTTTCATATAGCAACAACAAAACTCAACACACGCTGTGCTGTGCTTGGCTACCTGCTGATGATGCTGCTACTGCCATTCATCCAACCATTCATCCATTCATTCATATCCTTTAGAAAAAAACTTTTGGTTTTTGACATAACAATCCGTAGACTGTCGAAAGGTTTTTGATTTTTTTGAAAACATTTTTTTTTGGGTATCATTTTGTCATCATTAAAAGATTTTCCAATAACAATAATAATAAGGATTTCATTTTAAGCATGAAATTTGGGGGGAAATCTGGGAGACTGGGTATTTATTTAATAAGGGGTGTGTCATTAGTCCGGAGCAAAATACAAACAAAGGAAGGGATGAAAAGGAAAAACGATTGATTGCAATTAATTGTCTATAAATGTTTGAGGGGTGGAGGGTGCAGGAAATCTCGAGAACAATGATTTTGGATTTTAAATTAATGTTTTTAAAGGCCTAAAAATTGATTATAAATTTTAAATTAAATTTAAAGAGATTTTAAAACAATTTTTTTTGTTTATTGTAAAATCTTTTTGAAAAATGGAATAGAATTTTAAAAATGTCTTAAAAAGAATAAAAAGAAAATTCCAAAATTAGAAAAAAATATTAAACAAAAGATTAATTAAAGTTGGATCGCTTTTAAACTTTAAAAAACTTTTAAACTTAAATAAAATAATTATAATTTCAAATTAAAGTTAAAAAAATTAAAACAATAAATTCCTAAAGTTGAAAAAAATATTTCAAAATAAAATTTTAAAATTTTATATTGAAATATTTTTTTTAAATTTTAGAATTTATTTTTTAAATTTTATTTTTTTTTACTACCACAAAAAATTTCATATACAAAAGATTATTACCAAATATTTATTATAAATTTTGTATCAAATTTAAAGAAATTTTAATACAAAAATTTTTTTATTTTAGCTGAAGTACTTTTATAAGCGGAATGGAATTTTTAAAAATTTTAATAAAAATATAAAATAAAAAAATCCAAAATTGAAAAAAAATAATAATAAACAAAAAATATTATTTACATATAATTAAATTCATGTTTGAAATAAGTAAATTTGCCACTACATACATATGTATTATCTACATAGGAACTGAATACTTTTTTCCATAGCTTAATTTACATTTTTTTCTTTGTAGAAAAATTTCCATAATTTGTTTTTGGATTCAAAATTCACCACTGAATATTTTATAATACGAAACAGCTATGCCAACCAAGCATAGACCCAAAATTTTACTCGCGGCAATTGAGCCAACACCTGAATCGTAATAATTAGCATAAATACCAAATGTCATAATATTTCGGCGGTCAGCTGTTAACCAAATATCAAAATAAATGTGTTTACTATATGACAAAAAAAAAAAAAACAAATAAAAAAACATGATTAATTTTTTTCAAAACAAAAATAAAAAACTTCTTACTTTTGTGGTTCATTTTTCCATCCCACCTCCTGGCCCCCCAAGGGATTTAAATCCGCATCCAATGTACTGGGCATTATCAACAATTCACGGGCCTTAGGGAATTTACCCTTAACCATTATATAGTCCATATACAAATCCGTATAAAATTCATTTGATTCCAATAACTCACCACAACTGGCGGGATCTTCATTGCGACAAGTGTAAATGGCACAAACTTTAATATTATTACGTTGATCTTTTTCATAGGTGCGGCTACCGGAAAATACACCCATGCGATATTTGTAGGCAGTTTTATTACTTGGCACTTGCAGTGGTTGTGTCCAAATTGAGAATTCACAGCAAAAATCGTCATGGCAGATTTTTTCAAAAATCTTTGTGTCATTTGTCAGTAGTATTGACTGGAAACTTTCTATTTGGGGATCTTTGAGAAGGCGTATACCCGGCAAATGGCCAGAGGTTGAGGGTACTTGAATTGGCTGCTCATCTCTGTGAGGTAAATGGGTATCTGATTGAGCTAATTTTTCTTCTTCTTTAAAATCCCCAGTTGCAATTTTCCTCACCCGGGCCTTATATAATTTCCGCTCACCATCACCTGATGTTACCATTACCGACATCGCTTCTCTATCGGGGCCCGAGTAAATTCCCGTTCCCGTTGTACCAGTTCTTGGAAAACTGGCACCAGCTGCCAATAAATTAACATTGTTACCCCATGCCCAGCCCTGTTGTAGTTGAGTGGCTGAAAACGAACGAGATTAATTTATTATCAGACAATCAGGCCATAGACCATAATAAACACAGTGATAAAGAAGAAGGCAACAAAACACAACACTTTGTTTGCTATCCTCCTCCACAACAACTCACCTGATAGAAACGGCAACTCCGAATAGAAGAGACTGGTGAAAATAAAATCTGTTAGGCCATAGCGCTGTACCAACTCCTCGGCCGGGGTATAGAACAACATATCAAAGCATATAAAATGGCCAAAGCGTACACCAAAATCTGTATCGAATATGGCATACTCCGGCTGCAGGGTGGTGTTTTTATTCTCTACATAAACATTGACTTTGCGATAGCGTGATATTACACGACCCTCACGGTCAAAGACCACATTTGTGTTGAATATGTTCAGGCCATTTGTGGCACAAGGCCGGGGATCCAAATGCGGCGGTAGGCAATCTTGCTTTTCGGTTAAATTAATAACCAAATATTTGCGGACTTTTTGGGCCGTACACGACAGTTGTATGAAAAAGTCAGCATACAAGGATGATGACTCGTTGCCACTGTGTAAACATGGTATGATGTTTTGCCCGGGCGATGGTACATAAGTTAAGTGGAAGTTGTTATTTAAAGTACCCTCAGGAAAGACAATTATGTCAAGATCATTTGCCTCCGGGGATGTTATTATGTCGATATAGGCATTTAAATGGTCGGCTAATATTTCAGAAGATGTTCCAACTAAAGTGGGACGGAATTCCACAACTCCAGCTGAGTAAAATAAACTACTGTCCACATTTTGGGCTTCCTAAAATGATATATAATTGAAATTAAAATCCCAGAATTGTTTATTTATTAAATTCCAATAAAAAACAATCGCTCTAGGTCAGTACCATAAACAAAACACTTTGCGCTACTCACCGATTTGATAACAAGCTGCAACAACAACAACAGCTGGGCCGCACGCCAAAGACTCAATGATTTCGAGCATTGTCCCAAGTCAGCAAATACCGTGGAGAGCTGCATTTTAACCCTTTGTCTTAAGAGGCACACAAAACGTTCACAATACCCCCGTGCTTGCTTGTCCAGTGTTTGGGTAATACTAAACCTGAAATGATGGGAACGTACTTTTCTAATAGCCCCAAAGCAAATGCATTCCATTTCTCTTTTCCGATAATTGTTTTGATACTCTCTGTCTCATTCCCGCCAAAAAATAAACTAATTAACTTTCTTGGAGACTTTTAAATGCCCTTACTTGAATTGAAGAAATTTAAAGCATACTTTTAGGCGTTAACAAAGAAATCGGGCTTGGCATTAAGTTGCCCAACAAATCGTTAATTTTGGGGCCAATATTTAAGGAAAATAATAGTTTAAATTATGGGAATTGGAGTGTGGACCCACTAGAGGCCAGATGTTATATTGTTTTATAAAAATTAATTAATAGAACCATAGAAAATGTAATAAAAAATGGAATTATTAAAAAAAATATATTTTTTGATGATATTTTCATATTTTTCATAGATTATTCACATTGTATTTTATTCATATTTATAAAATATAATTCAACAATAACGCCATGAGTCCACACAGTAGTGAAATGCTAATTGTTGCTGCACCATCACCTTCCACAGGAACAAAATTATCATAATAATTACCATAAATTGAAAAGGCCAAGAGGTTACTGATGGTTGTGTTCAAGCTGTGGCGTACCTTTATTTGATTGCTAAAATATAAAAAAATTAAAGAAAATTGTAAAATTTAAAAATAAATTAAAAATAAATTCTTGTAACCAAGACTTACTTTTTCGTCACCTCCTCGGACCACTCAAATTCGCCCACTGCAACCGGCATCAAATCATCACCCCTTAAACTATTCGGCATCAAGAGGAAACCTTCCGTGGTCTTTGGGAATGTTGCCGTAATGGTAACATTTTCAAATATCACATCTGTATCGACGTCATATGTTTTACCACAATCCATAATATCCTCACCCACACAACTAAACAATGCACAATTTTTTAAGAAATTTGTTTCCGCTGCCACTTCATTGCGCAAACCATCATAAACACCCAAACGATAGTGGTAATGTACTGAATTCTCCTTCAAGGCCAGTGACTGCCATTTCAAATCAAAAGAACAACAGAAGGAAGTATTTGTATAGCATAGATCTTGTTTCAAGCTATTACCCTTGCTCAAATCCACCACTACACTTTCATAGTTTTGCAAATAATCACGTTTTAAAAAGATATTTGGTTTTGTTAGACGACTAATTACTCCAGGTTCTACGGATCTTTTTTGCCTTAATTTTGCAGTTTGGTATTTTGGCACCCTGGCCGTATAGATTTTGCGTTGTCCCACTCCGGTTGTCATTGTGGCCACTATTATACCCTTACGTCCATTATAGATACCAGAACCGGTGCTGCCAACCAGCGGATTTGAGGAACCGGCAGCTAGAAAATTAACATCATTGGCATAGGACCAGCCTTGGTGAACCTGAACAGCTGAAATGAGACAACAGAAGTAAAATTTTTTGTGTACTGTAACAAGTTTCAATTTCAATCAGCTGATTCCTTAAAACAGCTGTTTGAAATCACTTATTTATTAATTCGATTTTAAAGCCGTGTTTACAGGTCCTCAAAAATATCTAAAATTATGTCACAAATCTAATTAGAATGGGAATATGAATACCAGATGGAAATTTTTTGCTAATAATCTGTGTTAATAGTTTGATCTTTGACCCTAAGATCTAATCCTAGACCTAGGTCGTTATGAATTTTCAATTGCCTATATTAAGAGCCGTATTTACATTATAACATAATGACATAAAGGTACCTGGTCACACATCAAATTATTTGATTTGAATAATAATTTAAAGTTGTGGTATTGGTATTCTGACCTTTTATGGGCTTTAATGAGCGGCAAAAAAAAGTTCTTTGTCGGAAATGATTTTTTTTTATTATTGTTTATCAAATGGATTTGCCATACTTTGGATTTGAAGCCGATTAAGGCAACTGGTCACAGATGAAATTAAGTTATGTCAAGAAGAGGTGCATCACAGGTGACCTTTTGGTCAAAATACCAATTTAAAGTTCCGGTGTATTGTGTTATTTTTTCCAGATTGATAGTTTGAACTTTGACCTCATGTACTTATCTACGATATAAAGGAGATATTTTTTATTTATTATTATAACTGAAACATATAGCCGAGATTACACGAACAAGTTTACTGGTCACACGACAAATTAATTTATGTAAAGAGGCGATCTTTTTGGTTTGAATCGCCTTTTAAAGTTCCGCTACAATTTTTTTTATTTCCATATTTTTGATTTATTGACCTTTGACCCCTTTTATTCTATTATTAATTATGTGTGTTATAAAAAGACATTTCGAGATGAATATCGCAAACAAACAAAAACTTGGCCCACAAATAATCAGTTTTATAAGGCACTCCTCCCCTGGAAACAAACAATATATTTTTTTTATTTCCCGACAATAATGCAAACGTCACTTTCCATCACCTCATTAACACCTTTTTAGACAGACAGACAGACAAACAACTAACGCGTCAATGACTAGACGCTTATCGTTCATATCGCATTCTAAAATATTGACTATGTTTTCTTTCTTAGATTTAGATAAGATTCCGATGCAAACAGATGGCCGGTCAGTACACCCAGCGTTTCTATTTTTAATTTTTTCCAACTTACCGGTCAAAAATGGCAGCTGCGAAAACCACATAGTTGTAAATATGAAATCCTTGATGCCATGTTTATCGACCATTTCTTGGGCCGGGGTATAAAACAAAATATCAAAACATATAAAGTGGCCGAAGCGTACCCCAAAATCGGTATCGAACCAACCATATTCCGGCAGCAATGTGGAATTTTTATTTTCACCATATAAATGGACTTTGCGATAACGTGATACTACCTGACCTTTACGATCAAATACCACATTGGTGTTGTAAATATTTAAACCATTCGAGGCACAGGGTCTGGGATCTTCGGGTACACTTGAACATAATTCTTTTTCGGTGAGATTTATAACCAAATAACGGTTGTATTTACGGGCAGCACAGGATAATTGTTTGAGCAGGTTGTGATAAATATCTTCGGCATCATCACAGAGTGCTATTAGCGATTTCTGGGGATCCGGTACAAAGGTCGCTTGATCATTGCTGTTTAAGGTGCTCTCGGGAAATACAACAATATCGAGATTTTCGGCTTCTTGGGAAGCCAAAATATCCAAATAACCATTTAGGTTGTCATTTACACGTCCCGCGGAGGTCAAAGCTGCCGAAGAGCGGAATTCCACTACACCAGCATTATAAAATAAATCACTTGGCAAACTGGCCTATGAAATAAACCGAAAAACAAACACTCATAAATTAATTACAATTTGCAAACTTTGTTTTTGATCTTCTTATCATTAGTTCAATAAAATTTTTATAACGCGTTTTCATTTTTTTTTAGCGCAAAATTTAATCACAACGACTTCTTGTTTGCAAAATATTTCTATCTACTTTTTGTTTTGTTTCTAAACAATCAACCAGCCAGCCAGCTAGCCAGACCACCAACCTGTACTGATAACTGCACCAGCAATGTTAGCCCCAAAATAACTGTGGACTTTATGGACATTATTCCGTTCTTTTCTATTTAAAAATAGAAAAATGCTTCCGTATATCTTTCTTATTTTTCTTTGAACACAACCACTTAACGTTACCAATACTAGAATCTAATTGTCAGGTAATTGGTCAGTGCTAAGCCATTTAAATCTCACGGCATGGGCCAAAGCTTTTTTTCCCCCAGTTCACTTGTGTTTCCTTAGATACGTCTAATCTAATCAGAAAATGATTTGTAATTTCAATACAAGTAAAGAAATCTTATTGAAGATTTATAAAGGAGAGTTTATAAATAAAAAAGTGTAGCATATTTTAGGGGGTTCTAATTAGAGGAAGTTTAAAGAGGAAGAGAAATATCATTGACAAATTAGACCACAGTCGGGCGAACCACCGCACGTGTGCACTCTCGCGAGAGTAAGTATAACTATTCTCTCACAGACATTCAACTGAACCAATTGAAAAACCATTGACACACACACACAAAGACAAGTGCGTGAGAATAGAATTTTTTATGCTCTGCCCGTGCCTGAATTAGACCGTAAAAAATTGGTTTTCACGCATTTGTCTTTGTGTGTGTGTGTCATTGATTTTTCCGTTGGTTCAGTTGAATGTGTGTGAGAGAATAGTGATATTTACTCTTGCGAGAGTGCACGCGTGCGGTGATTCGCCAGATACTGAATTAGAGTCTTCAGTGAACTGAGGAATTTTTTTTCCTATAGAAAAAAGAGTCATCAGCGAACAAAGTATTTTTTTCTATAAAAAAAAGTCCTCAGTGAAGTGAGGAATTTAGGATTTTATTTTGAAGGGGATTCTGGGGATAATAAATTTCTTTGCAGACAATTTTTAATATAGCTTTGGTATTAGCTGTAATAAAAAAGTGGCTGAAATTTGGATATCGGGTTCTTGGAGGGTAAATAACTTTCCAATCCTGATTCATATTCAAAGAAGAGCTGTAAATTGGTATTTCGTTCATTCAGAAGATAAAAAATCTCCAGACTGATAATTTGCAATGACTGGTTCTTCATATAAAAGATTTAGCCAATCTTAAGTAATTTTCTTGGCTCCTTAGAACTTAAAGCCGTTTTTATTAGTTTTTTATAATTAAATAATTTTAATATTTATTATTTTATATATAAAATTTTTGTACTAATTTTATAATTATTTTAAAATGTTTTTTTTAATAAAAAAGTATCCTTATAAACATGAAATAAATCACCATTTTTATAAATCAGACTGGGGTGCGTATACATAATGTCATTACATATACGAACTATGGTACGGATTTGTATTTTCAAATATTTCTGAGTTTCTTTTATTTATTTTCATTTCTTTTTTATTTTATTATATATTTATTTTCTATTCTTTCTATCTCTCTGATAGCTTAATACTACTTCCAAAATATTATCTCTTAATAACGAATCACAACGTAAATAAAAACAATGTAATCAAAATATTTGTTTATGTAGTTGTAATCTAGTAGACAAAATCTCTCGTTTCTCCTTCTCTCTTCCTCCCCTCCCCTCTTTCTCTATTTAAGACCACGTCTAAACATAATCTAGATTAGCTTCCTTAAGATAATAATAAAAACATTTGGAAGATGACATACTTCCTTCCCTCCTTACCACCGGTCACAAACAGTGAGTCACACACACACACACAAGAGATTATTTTTTTATTTTTCGGCCACTTAGTTTTCTGGTCGTTACCATTACAAAATGTCTTGGTTGGGAAATGGGAAACGTCACATTTCGGGGCTAACAAGCATCACAAGTTGGATATAATTAACATTGCCTGTGTGTGAGTTTGAGTGTGTGTGTGTTTCTGTCTCCTTGCCTCGGTTTTTTTGTTGTTGAGTAGATAAGTGACAATGACAGTGAGGCGTGTCGAGTTGATGCCCTCTTGACCAACCTCAATCTAAGATTTTTGGGCGAGTGTGTGTGTGTGTTTGGAAACACTTAATGTCAAACAGAAAACCAAGACATTTCACCAGCCCTCCACCAGCACATCCTCTTGATCCAAGCACACACTCTCACACCCCTAGAAGTTGTAGACAGCCACTTAACTAAACGCACATTCTAATGGCCTTAAATAGTTGCTCCCCAGAGTGACATAACAGTGAATGGCAAATGTGGAGTTGATAAATTCTAATATTGCCCAGTCAACCACCGAACTACCTCCAAGAAAAAAACGGGAGCGAGAACTGTATTTCTTGCAAATATTGTGGGAATTAAAGCTGTAACAATCAAAATCCCTTGATGGACACGCAAAGCCAATAAAATTTAGGTGAAATGTCAGATGGTTTTATTGCATTTTTTTTAAATGCTAATGGGTGTTTTAACGAAAATGTTGTAAACAAATAGCAAAAAAATCCCCTGTACCCTGAGGACACAATAAAAATTCCTATAGAAAAAATTCCTCAGTTCACTGAGACTTCTTATTTCTATCGAAAAAATTTCCTCAGTTCACTGAGTATTTTTTTTCAATAGAAAAAAAAATTCCTCAATTCACTAAGTATTTTTTTTTCTATAGAAAAAAATCCTCAATTCGCTAAGGATTCTTTTTTCTATAGAAAAAAATTCCTCGGTTCGCTGAAGACTCTCTTTTTTATAGAAAAAGATTCCTCAGTTCACCTGAGGGCTCTTTTTTCAAGATTCCTCAGTACACCTGAGGACTCTTTTTTCTATAGAAAAGAATTCCTCAGTTCGCTGAGGACTCTTTTTTCCGATAGATCATTAGCTTGATTAAAAAGACTCGCAGAGCTTCATCTCTTCTCTAAGATCCCAATAAGTTTCAAATTTAAAATACACTCCACCTTCTGGTGCCTAATTATGAAATGTGTACCAGAGGTCGTAGCAGTAACGACAACATGTATACGCACCCTAGGTCAATTAATAAATATACATGACTGTAGGGTTATTTAGTATAAAGTATCCCTTTAGAACTTTTTTAAGGCATTCTAAATCTTCAGTTCGTTCATAAAGACTACTTGTGCTTCAGTTCACGTATAAAGATGCCTCCGACCTTTGCCTTTTAGATCATCCTGAGCTCCTCTATAAATCATAAAGTTTATCTGAGCTTCAGCTGGTCGGCAAAAACTTCCACAGATTTAGTTCAGTTCAAAAATACTCCTGAGCATCATCAGTTATAAAGACTCCCCAAGCTTCACGTCCTCTATAAAGACTACCAAAGCTTCAGATTCTCTATAAAGAAACCCTAAGCTTCCGCTTTTCCATAAAGACTCTCTGTTCCACTAGAAGACCCCCTGTGTTTCGGCTCGTCTATAAATAATCCTTGAATATAGATTAAAAATTCACTTCCCGAACTCAACTATAAAAATTCTCCAAACTTTTGCTCTTCTATAAAGACCATCTTTGCTCCGGCTTGTCCATCTAAGTTTCAATTCATCTATGAATAATCCTTGAAATTCAGGTCTACAGATGTAAATAAAAAACTACAAAAAGTCCATAATATTTTCTAACAAAATACGTACCCTAGATCGCATCAGTAACGACAACATGTATACGCACCCTAGTCCAATGTAGCAAAAAGAAATGATTAATAATTATTTTAAAGGTAATTTGGGAGTAAAATAAAATTTGTAAACTAATAAAAAAAAATTAAAAAATGATTTTATATCCTGTATCACACTTATCAATCCCATTTCCCATTGAAGTGAGCCATATATGTTTCTTAGATATCCTTCTGAGATTGTTTATATGCCTTCAGGGGACACACACACACACTTTATTTATGTCTCACATTCATTAGTGTCACCAGAGATTTGAGAAGAAAAAAAAAAATAATGACAACATATCACAATACCTACTAGGCCTTGGGGGCTGACTTCCTTCTAAAAACTAGAAAAAATCACTCTCATCATAAATTTCTTCCCATTAAGTAGGGAGAACAAGAAAAAATCGCATGAAAACATGAAAATATGATTTATGATAGCATTTCCCATGATCCAACCTTAAAATATCAAAAACCAAAAAAGCCCTCCACTGAATTATTGCCATTTATGGCAATTTCCATCAATTCAATTTTGACATGAATGATATCCTTTTCATCATCAGCAAGTGGGGGCCAAGCAGCACTACCCTGCACCACAAAAAAATATATATAAATGACGGAAATGAAAATGTTGCGTCTGAAAAGAAATCGTAATCACATCATCATTGTTTGGATAAGTGGAAAATTCAATTTGCATAAAGACATAGACACACAAACCCAGCCAAAGCAACCAACCAAACTGGCAGATCCGTGGTTCCTTGGTTCAACAGTAGCGAAATGTATTCACAAGTAACAAATTGATATACAGTTTTACAACCAAGAAACCCGGGGAGAGAGTGAGAACGGAACACACTCACACACACACATAAAATCGTTGCAATCGTTAAACCACAACAAACTATGCCACCATTTGACTGGAAAAAAGAAGAAGCAGAAGAATATGACGAAAACTTACAGCATGATGAAAGAAAATCTGTCATCACACCACCATTACCATCAGGATGCAATGCTTGTAAAATATCATCAGCAATACAAATGGAGTAGTGTCTTCAACTCACAGTCGAACCCGACAGCCAAGCCAGTCGAACAGCTTTGCCATCCAGCCAGCATAACAATTCAAATGTAATTTGCCCTGTATCGAGGGGTAACATCAACATCAAATGCACCACAAACGCGCACGCTGCCAGCATCCGCACTACAAACTTAATGGCCGTAAGCACAATCATCAGCAGCAGCATCACTCATCGTAATACACAAGGAAATACTGTCATAAACATGAACACCCCTGGACGTCAGGCACACAACAATAATAAAAACAACAAAAAATACAACAACAACAGTAGTACAAATTGCCATACATTCATAGAAGCGTAGAGTGAATTCATAGCTATGCATGAAATAATTTTCTCCCCCGAAATAGTATAGGGAGGACGTTTTTGGGATTCTTGGAGGGTTCTCGTGAATTCCAAGAAATGGTAAAACAAGTTCTCTGCCCAATGGATCTGT